GAGTTCAATTAGAGTTTTGCCCTTTATGAAGACAACATGAACAGGATAAGATGCTTTATCAATCTTTCTTTACGCTCATGTATCAGAAGAGGCAAGAGTGGGCTGGCTACAAATCATTGTAGAAACTGAAAACATGGAGAAAATCAACTGCAAAATAAATCAATTCTTCCTCCTCGAGGATTATTTTCTGATTTGAAATATAGCCTTTCCCTTGATGGGAGAAGAAGGGAAATAGAGGATGTGATTGAGAAGAATGACAAAGAAATGGGAGGTGAGACATGTTTTCCTTGGGGAGTCAAAGGAGTAGGGAGGGGTAGACGGTGTGCCCAGAAAAAGGGGAGAGGAGAACATAAGGTTAAAAATGGAAATAATTATACAGGAAATGACACATTAAAAGAGGTAGAGTTAAAGGACAGAAAAAAAGGAAAAACAATGGAGAGAAAGAGACTAAACACATTCAAAAGAAAACAATGACAGGATAAATACTATAATTGGAAAGATGGAGAAAGACAAACAGGATCTATGTAAAAAGATTTTTTAAATGATTAAAAAGCTGCACATTCTAAAGTGGGGGAGAATAAAAACCAGGAGAAATGGGAACCTTTACATGTTATTTCAAAAGCAGTTAAAGAGAGGGTTTCCTCTGAGAAGTGACCGTGGTAAATGATACCTTTTTACTCAAGAGACCTGCTTCCTGAATGTATTCAGAGTCGGAACAGCTGGCTTTAGTGACAAAGGTATGTTTTTACTGCATTTTAGTCATGTTCATGTTGCAGGATGCTGACAACTATGGGGTTGTATATGTGTTGCTGAGGGAAGACATTCATTAAATGTGAGGCAAGATTCAAGCTTGATTCTCAGCCCTAGGTTGAGCATGCAGGGCTGACAGTTAGAAAAACTACCGGAGTAAAATCCTGGTTCCGCTGAAGTCAACAGCAGTATTGCTATTGACTTCAACGGGTCAGGATTTGATATCCCCCCCCCCATTTTTTTTTTTTTTTTTTTACTTTTGAATTGAGCACATTTTATCTGGAAATCAGTGAAAAACAAACATGGAAGCCCAGAATGCCATTTTCAGTGTGACTTTTCAGAATGGCACACTTTAATTCAATTATTGACTCACTTCTGCTGTAGCTCATGAAGAATTGCACCATTTTTAGGTACAGATTCCCCGCCCCACCCCCACACACACACTGGAACATAAAGTGGCTGGTTAGAATGCTGGAAGGTACATATTTATGGATATATTCCTGGTTCAAAGTGCCCTGCTAACACAGGCCTGACTTCTAAATTCTCCTTTATCTGAATACAGCACTAACCCCTTTATCTAGTACAGTGCTTTTCAACTTTATTTTTTCATTTGCAAACCCATAAAAAAATTTCAGAAGGAGGTGCGGACCCCTTTGGAAATCTTAGATATAGTCTCTGGACCCCCAGGGTCTGCAGATTACAGGTTGAAAACCACTGATCTAGTGTTTGATAGGCAGATGAAACTCCATGTAAACAAGGCTTCAGATAAACAGTGGCTTCTTTGAGAGCGCCAAACTTGGGGTCCACCGTCCCATGGGGTAGGGAGGACGTGCCAGCTGGCCACCAGTTCTGACTGACCCACAGAGCAGACTGGTAATGAGGCAGAGGACACCTTCCTTGCATCTGCTTTGTGGCCCTGTTTCTTGGGCAGTTCTGGGCAAGAACTAAGATTCTGAATTCTTCCCTAACATTTCAGGGGAAATCCAAAAAGGGCTTAAGAATTTTACTAGCCTTTCTGTGGCCACACCAACCTCAATACATTGCAAGTATTGCGTGCAGGGGACTGGACTAGAGAAATGCAACAACGATGATTAAAGGTCTAGAAAACATGATCTATGAGGGAAGACTGAAAAAAATGGGTTTGTTTAGTCTGGAGAAAAGACAGAGGGGACAAGATAATTTTCAAGTACATAAAAGGTTGTTACAAGGAGGAGGGAGAAAAATTGTTCTTCTTAACCTCTGAGGATAGGATAAGAAACAATGGGCTTAAAGTGCAGCAAGGGAGGTTTAGGCTGGACATTAGGAAATGTCAGGGTGGTTAAGCACTGGAATAAATTGCCTAGGGAGGTTGTGGAATCTCCATCACTGGGGGTTTTTAAGAGCAGTTAGACAAACACCTGTCAGAGATGGTCTAGATAATACTTAGTCCTGCCATAAGTGCAGGGGACTGCACTAGATGACTTCTCAGGTCCCTTCCAGTCCTGTGATTCTATTGTAGGCTCTTAAGGGCTCCAGACCCTTTCAAGGATAAATGGACTGCTCACTGCGTCTTCAAACAGCAACAGGGGTTAAGGTGTGGAGGGAAGGAGGGCTAACCGGGATGTAAGACAAGTTCAGGTTAAGAGGGACTATTTTGCTCGACTCAATCTGTCTTTCATGTATATACTTTCACTGCTTAGTTAGAAGCTGAATGGAAATGATGTGGGTGACTGCATGAGTGAATAAATGTCAACAATCTTTTTAAAAGCAGAAAGGTTTTAAATGGCTGAATTAATTTTACTCAAACTTTCCAAAACAAATTTACCTTTGGCATGACCAGCCATGAGAAGTTTTGGATTAAAAGGGATTTTCTTTATTTGTAAAGATATGAAGAATTCAAAACAAGGGTTCAAGGAATAGGACTTTTCTGCCCTAGCCTCCTGAACAATAATGCAATAATGCTATTCCCATCCTATCACTATCCTCAGTGCTGAGATGCGTAGTTCCTAGGCGTGAGGCCAAGCATTTTTCTTTGACGGTAATTTATTCATGCTGAAAGGGAAATTTTTTTACATTTCAGTGCAGTGCATTGGACATATGGGGCCAGCTCCTCAGGTATGGCTGAAGAATAAAAGTTGGGGGAATTGGTGGGGTATTCCTCACCTCTGCACCCTCAAGCCTAGGACTGCTCCGCCACTACCATGTTAGTACTGAGTATTCTTTAAAATGAAACATCTTTGCCAGGTTTTGTGCCTTACGTACATTGTTAAATATTTTATACCATAAGCCACCGGTTCATGATTTAAAAAAAAAAAAAAAGGTTTAAGTCTGTTATTTATCTTCAATAAGTGAAGGGAGGTTACTAATGTGTTATGTCAACGAATGGATGGCACTTTAATAATATAATTATACACAGTTTGATATAATTGAACAGAATGACAAGTTTTTGCTAGTTGGTCTTCTCCCTGCTATTGCACACAAGTTAATAGTTCTTGTTCTCTCTACCCTTCCATGTTTTTACTTCTTTCTGTCTTTCTTCTTCCATCTTCCACACTACTTTTGCATGGTCTACTTGCTACCTCTTTTAGTTTCCACTTCTTTTTGTCCCTTCCTCATTTATCTTCCCTTCCTTGAACCTTTCCCTCTCTCTTTCCAGCTGGGTCCACAAACTCATTTCTTCCCCAAGTCTCCCCCATTCCCTTTCCTCTGGCCTCCATCTCTTTGTTTCTGGGACCCCATCCCTCTGTCCTGGTCACCCCTCTGCAAAGACCCCTTGGTACCTTGCTGCCCACTCCCCCTTATTCTCTAGGAGTTTCTCTTCCAAAATAGCTTCCCCTCCCTCCCCCCCCCCCGGCCTTTTCACCCTTGCAGGCTGGGAGTGTGCTCTTAGACTACATGCTGTTTGTATGACAAACCCAACTGTTCGGGAAACAGAAAGGATGTCCAAATAGATACTAGTACAGTTATTTCAAAACTGCCTTGACAGTGTAGAGGCTGCAACCCATGGACCAGCCCAACCACTTAACCCAACAGTAGGAGTAGAGGGGGGGGACAGGACTTTTTCTCGTCAAGCCCCTCACTCTAGCAGCCTTGCAAAGAGTAACACTATCCTTGTAAGAGGTGGTGGACATGTTGCCATTTCCCCAGACATTAGCTTCTAACCATTAAGCTCTCAACTATTTTCAAGTAAAACATCTCTGTACATTAAGTGCATGATTAATGAGACTGTGGTCACAGTCCTTCCTTGAACAAATCAGATACAGAGATATACACATCGTGAGTCAGCCTTACAAAGTTTTACTCATCATCTTGTACATGACAAGTAATTTTTTGGGTGGAGAATATCAATCGTATTAATAATCAGTTTTATCGTTATCATCAATCAGTATTACAAAGGACTAGAGAGTAGGTTTTGTGTTGAGGATGGTAACAGTTTTACAACAGTTTTGCAAGATAACTATTAAAAATCATACACAGAGATCATCTTATTCTCAAGTGCATTACCCCAGTTTTACATCAGTGCAACTCCATTACTAATAAAACATAATGCAAAATTAGACCCAGTATTTTCCTTTTGAGAACTTTCCAATTCTGCTTCATTTTTTCCTGAATCCTGACTGCCACCTACTGCGGCTAATGCTATCATGCCTTTCCTAGAACAGAGAAGTCTGGTGGAGTATTTACTGGATATGGTCAGTGGCAGTTTAGCAAGGCTTTCCCGTCTCTTTTATAGTGGGTGGGTACAGTACATCTTGTTTTCAGCAATCCCAGTCTCCAGAGGCTAAGACAATGGGAAACCTAAATTGGTTTTCAAACTCACCTCTGCCAGGTGATCAGGTCAAAGATTATTTAATCATCTGAGGTCTTATAACAATAAGAACTTTTCAAATTCTTGGTTGGCCCATTTTCAGTAGGATTTGCCAACATATGACGAGCTGAGTGGTTCAGCATTTTGAAGGGAAATTTCTCTCACAGTCTAGGCCAAATCTGCACAAGTCTAAACCAACAGTGGAGGAGTTTGCCCTATATGAAGCACTGTAGGTTAGGTCTAGATAAACATGCCCTCTTTAAAGAAGAGTACATTTAAATTTGGACACCCGAATTGTGGTGAAGATGCAGGGACCTTCTGATGCCTTCCACAATCCTTTATAAAATGAATTCAAGCCATGGAATCTCTTGATTTATTCAAATATTAAATAATACTGTAGTAAAATATTGTGTGAAAACATCAGTGTCTTATTTATTTAGAATGAATTAAGTAGATAATGTAATTCTATTAAAGGCAGCTTTATTTGAATGGATGAAAGCACAGTGTGTTTTGTCAACAATTAGGTATTAAGACAGAAATATAGCAATCCACTTTATTAGATAATAAATGTCATAGCAATTTTTGACAGAAGTGTCAAAAGAAAACAAAGCAACTTCCTGCACTGCAATATTATCTAAATTGCACTGAAATCTTGATGGGTTGCAATATGAATTGTACATGCTGCAAAGTCTCAAATTGCACAAAGCCAACTCAACAAATGATATGACAAGTGACCACACGCTGTTCCCAAGGAAGCAAAACATTCAAACAAGTCACATGCACAAAGTGTTTGTGTTCTTGTTCAGTACAAAGCAATGAACCATAACTAGAGCTGCAGCAGCATTTCACAAGCAAAAAAACCACAAGTGTACATATGCTTCTCTCATTCATGTCAAGTCCCTTCTCCCCAGCTCTTTATCCTATGAACTCTACTTTAAAGAATCTAATAGACTCTGAGCTCAACTAGTGAATCAGCCAAGTATTTCATTTAATTCATTCCCTCTTCCGTATTACATCCATTCCTGATAAGTATGAACATAGGTATGTAATCTTTAAAATCTTTCTATGATAACACATTTATGGAAAATATGCTGAACTTGCAACAGTACCCTCCAAGCCCAGTAAGCACCAGCAGGACATGCTTATGAACATGAGGGATATTGCAAAAGGCAACTGATGCCCCCGTGACTAAAACATTAATCATATTTTGGCTTCAATAAAAATAATTACCCTCCTTTAAAAAAAAGGAAGAGTCAATTTCAGGGAAACCTAGAGAGAGACATGAGTCACACTGTTACACTTCTAAACCAAAAAAAAGGAAGCACTGGCATCTTTCATTGGGAGTCTTTCATTTCATTCATCTTTCATTTCATTCATTTTCAAATGTGTGCACAGTTCTGCTGCTGGTGTGGATCTGCAAGCTGGCTAAGGGTGCAGATGAGAAAGGAACAAACGGAGTATGCAAATGCACCCTTCGCAAAGACTAGTATGCTGCCCCGTACCTCAGACACGCTGATGATTTCTTCCTAAACCAACAAGAAGCTGACAAGAACCATAAACTGTATTCACCAAAAAACATGTTTGCATTGTAGACCATTTCCCCCTTCTTCCCAAGTCCAAAATTCTTCTTACTTTATCATAACACTCGAAGGGGAAAGAAAATACAAAGGTCAGCCCTTCCTGTCATACTGGCATTTTGCAACGTTCAAAGGTTAAGGGCTTTTTCTTTGGTTATTTTTATTTATTTTTTTGGACAAAAAGATATTGTTGCTCTAAAACAGAAGTCAGTACACTGTTGTCTCTGGCAATTAATGCAACTGAATTTGATCAATATTAAACTGAATTTTTCTTCCCACCCCCACCCCCAAAAAACTTTTAAAGCCATACTAGGCACAAACAGCTAACGTGGTTTAGCAAGGTCATCTCTCTTCCTTGCCCTCTCTCTTTTGGCCCTGGGTTAATGATCCTTTGTAGATTCAGGTGATGACAGTGGGTCCCTTCCGCCCTGTCCTCTCATGGATCTGAGATATTTTCAGTGCAATGGCTATGAGAGGACTCAGCACAGCCTAGAAGAAAAGGAATACAGTGAGCCACTTTAAGAAGAAAAGTCAATGAACACTTTTTAAAAATCTGTTATTGATTTTTCCCTTGTTCAACACAGTGTTAACTAATAATATGAAATGTTATACTGGGTCTAAAGTAGCTAAGCTATGCAGAACGTGCAAACCCCAGATGTTGTAATGATAACCTCACCACACACCAAGAGTAATGGAGAGCTCTGTGTGAAATATGCAATATAAAACCATGTGGAAGTCTCAAACCTGGAATTATTTATGAAGCTGAGTTGAAACTATAACCAAACGGTATTTTCATACACTACATTGTTAAACTGAAGAACTCAATGACACAGATACTGAGGCAGGTATCTTAGTAGGAGTCATAAAAATATTTATATGACTAAAACATTATTACTTGCACTTATACTGCATAGGTCAAAGAGGTATTTCCCTTGCAGTTTCAGTTTATAGATCTCTATTTACAACTTTAACAACCTTACAGTTTGTGTCTAAGTGGGAGTGTTTTTTTGTCTAGATGCCTAAACAAAACGAATAAAATGAAAACCTTATCAGGTAAGAGTGATGAAATAACATCTCTGTTTATGCTGCCACTGATTTCAACAGAGTTTATGGCCATATTCATTTATTCAGAAACCTGGCCAGTGATCAGTGGGATATTACTATTCCTTTCCTATCTGTGGATCCACTTCTAATTGCACAATGATTAGACAACACCACACAGGGTAAAGAGTTCATACATTTTATACAATACATTAATATGAAGAGCATCAAAGTTAACATTTCTTGAAAATGCTACAAAATGAAAAAACAAAACGAGCCAGCTCCTATGCTCTGTAAGTAGGGAAAGCTCATTCCTCTAAACAGCTATACCTGCAATAGAGAAGAATCACCACAAATGTACTTGGGCAGAGGGGCATTGTCCCACCATGGAAGAAACACAGGTGCCCACAGACCACCTGGATCTTGGATACCTTCAGGGGGGCACAGAAGCATCTATGCCCTCTTATTGGCTCCGGGCTCTCTCTGTGACCCAGTCCCTGGAAGTGGCTTTCCTAGGGCCTCCCTCTCCCAGATAAAAAAAGAGAGAATTTTTCACTCCGGAGAGGACTGAAAGATAAAAACAGATCACAGGACCCTACCCAGTTTTACCACCTTCATGAGCAATAAAATGACAAATTTAAATAAGAAAGCAAACAAACAAAACAACCCACTCTCTGCTTTGGCTGAAAGCCTTAGGTTAGTCAAGATTACCACATTTAAAGTGTTTTTCAAATTTTATTTCTACTTTTAAAAAGTGTAAAGCTCTATTATTAAAAGTTGAACTCAAAATGACATTAAAAGTGTGCCTGGATACACCACAAACAAACTACTTAATAAAAACTGCATTGTTTGAAATGCATTGTTATCCATAAAACAGTATGCAACAACAAAGTTGTACAGTCTGTAAATCGAACAAAGCTTCTATTAACTTCAGTGAGAGTTTGGCTCAGTTAAGAACCACTGGAGAATATATCTCTAAATCCGTGATTGCCAGGGAAAACATCACACCTCTCACAAACTAGACATACCAATAGATATCTCAAACATGCATGTATCTGACAAGTGACAATGCCTGGTGCCCTTTGCTTGTGGATTATTTGTACTGGAGCCTTGAGAGATGTGTCATCCATTGTAGAGGCTGCCTGGCTCACTGCATTTTTATTCTGCCCTGTCTTGCAGAACTCCCATCCAACTGCCTTTCTCCATCTCCACATTCTCAGTTATGTTTTCCCCGAAAACTATAATCCATTTGCAAAGGATCAAGGCTTCACAGCATTCTAAACTGCACCCAAGGGCTTGTTAAAAGCTGAGCAGATTCAGAGGTTTGGCTTTGTGCAAATATTTTCTTTGAACTCAGTCCAGATGGGCTGATATTTTAAACTTTGTGGGAAAATCTCATCTTTGCGGCAAAATTTCACTTGGTTTATGTCAAATGTGGGCAATGTCCCTCCCCTTCAAAAACAAATTGTGTGCTATTCTGATGAAAAATCATAATTAGCTCAGGTTAGCTTGAAAAGTGCATGAATCTTAGTAAACCTTTTGACCAATCTGGTCTGAGTGTCGTTTGTAAGGCCGTCCAAACCTACATGAGTTTTGCCTGGTTTAGGAATGAATGTTTAGCACAGCTCTAAAATTCCCTCTCTAATCTAACGTAAACCTCAGGTGACCATGCTAGCAAAGTAATTTCATCTCTGACAAAACAAATACTTTGATTTATGTCTCCAGAAAAGTTCTGGAAAAGTTAAAGCCATGAAAGCCCAAAGGGATCTTGCAACATTGGATGAGTAGGCAACAAAATGGCAGATGGAATTCAATGTTAATAAGTGCAAAGTAATGCACATTAAAAAACATAATCCCAACTGTACATGCAAAATTATGGGGTCTAAATTAGCTGTTACCACTTGAGAAAGATCTTGGAGTCATTGTGGATAGTTCTCTGAAAATATCTGCTCAGTGTTCAGCAACAGTCTAAAAAGCTAACAGAATGTTAGGAACCATTAGGAAAGTGATTGATAACAACACAGTAAATATAATGCCATTATTTAAATACATGGCACACCCACACCTTGACAACTGCATGCAGTTCTGGTCACCCCATCCCAAAAAAGATATATTAGAATTGGAAGAGGAAGCAAGAAGGCCAACAAAAATGATTAGAGGTATGGAATAGCTTTCATATGAGGTGAGATTAAAAAGACTGGGACTGTTCAGTTTGGAGAAGAGACAACTAAGGGGGGATATGATAGAGGTCTATAAAATCATGACTGGCATGGAGAAAGTGAATCAGGAAGAGTATTTACTCCTTCTCATAATACAAGAGCCAGAGGTCACCAAATGAAATTAATAGGGAGCAGGTTTAAAATAAGCAAAAGGAAGTACTTCTTCACACAACACACACCAGTGGAATTCGTTGACAGGAGAAATTGTGAAGGCTAATACTATAACTGGGTTCAAAAAAGAATTAGACTAGTTCATGGAGGATAGGTCCATCAATGGCCATTAGCCAAGATAGTCAGGGACACAACCCCATGCTCTAGATCAGGGGTTCTCACACTTCATTGCACCGCAACCCCCTTTTGACAATAAAAATTACTACATGGCCCAGGAGGGAGGACGAAAACCTGAGCCCCACCGCCCAAGGGATTCAGCCCCAGCCAGGGGGCCGGTAACCTGAGCTCCACTGCTGCCCAAGGCTGAAACCCTCAGGCTTTGGCCCCAGGCGGTGGGGTTCGAGCTTCAGCCCCGGGTCCCAACAAGTTTAAGCCAACCCTGGCGACCCCATTAAAATGGGATTGTGACCCACTTTGGGTTCTGACCCACAGTTTGAGAATCGCTGCTCTAGATGTCCCTAAGCCTCTGACTGCCAGATGTTGGGACTGGACGATAGGGGATGGATCACTCAGAAATTGCCCTATTCTGTTCTTTCCCTATGACATTGGCCACACTAGGAAGACAGGACTGGACTAGATGGACCACTGGTCTGACCCAGTGTGGCTGTTCTTATATTCTTATGAGAGAATACTCCCACCTTGGGATTCAAAGCATTTTTAAGAACACCAGATAATACTTATAACTTCTTTTACATAAGTTCAAACACCTGCTTTTGTGTTTGTTAGAGTTTTTTTCTTGTGATGTTACGCTACATTTAGCAGGAAAAAAAAACCCCTTCAAAACATTGTGCCAGGCTTTGTATTTATAGGGTTTTCTCATCTTAAAATGTACCCAAGTGAACATGGTAGAACAACTTTATGACACAGGATAAGTTGTGTATACACACACTGCCATCTGCACTAACCTTTTTATTTCATCTCCTATCAGCCCACAGAAAAACAACAACAAAAATCCAAACTAGCCAGTTATTAAATGAATGTCACAGTAGGGTAGAGATCCATTGCGTAATCAGCTATATTTCATGTGGCTGTTGTACGGGGTTTAGGGTACTTGACTTACTATTAGACCAAATGACCCTTCAGAGTTTTCCAGATGTTAAAACAGTTACACAGACCCAGCTGCTGACTTCTAACCAGAGCTACAGCAGCAAGAGCCAGTAGAACTCACTCTTCTGGAACAAGTGCTGATTTTTCTAAGGAGAGATAGGCAAGTGAAATCCATGATTCATGAGATCTTCTATAATCATTGTCACCAGACAGATGTATTTTTAAAATGTGTCTGGAAAAGAAAATGGTCTGGAAATGCTTTTTTTGTTTCAAACTATTCTCAATATGGCACACTGTAAGGTGACCTAAATTATTTGGAATGACATGGAAGCTAAATTATTTGAATGACATGGAAAATGCTGAGTTATATAAGATCATGAGCAAACAGCTGAAAATGCCCTACCTCTCATTAATCCTTTTAAAAAGTCCCATATTATTTAATAGTAAGTAGAAAAACTTTGTATGGACTTTTTCAACCATCCTATACATTTCAATATTAAACTGTACACCTACTATATGACTTTATAGATTACTTCAAAACACCAATAGAAAGGACATGTTCTCTATTAAATTCTACTATTTCTTAGAATTATTGCTATATCTTATTAAATATATAGAAATGTGTTGTTTCACCCTTATTACATTCTATGGAACTTTTCCCAGTAGGGTTCTTATTTGAAAGAATTCTCTTTCACAAGAAAAACAGACATGCAATGCAATGTGGTTGCATGCTGCTATTGGATTCTTCTGTAGCTAGTTAGCATAGCCAAGCATTTAATTCAAGTATGTCCCTGGAAAATACATTTATATTTGTGATCCATGTTGTTCTATATTTGTACAGCACCTGACACAATGTGCTCCAGGTCCACAACTGTGGCCCCTAGGTACAACTTCAATACATATAATAAATAACAATGTACTGTGAATAAAAATGAGCAGATATTTGAAGCAACCTAACCTTTTTGCTGCACTGTTTCCTGTACATGCCCTGTACAATACCAGCATGACACT